CCGGGACTCCCGTCTCTTCCCACTTAATGACCCACATAGTCATGGAGATATGACAGCAACTACCACTGCTAGGATTGTTATTGCCAAGTAAAGCAATTATATGATGTCATGCTTTATGACCATATTGCTTAGCAATATAAATTCTGATCTCAAGTGCCGTTATAACATGGGAACTACCTATACACCAAAATGGCACCCAAGTGTTAAAGGAGAAATTCAGAAAAATAAGTAGATTTGTTACATTGTATAGAAAGCTTCCCTGGAAACACAGGAAAGATAAGAGCCTGTCAATTGGTGATTTGTACTATTTCCCAAAGAATTTCTTCACACATTTGGGAGCATAATTTTCCTTTTGGTATCACGAAGGTTATCTGAACTCTTTAGCTATCAAAGCTATGAGACAAATACATCTACTCAGTTCAGAATATTAGTGTTTTCTAGTATTCATTTTCTCCCAGCCCAAAATACCTTTTGTTTTGTGGTGTAGAAAAATGCTACAATCTGAAATGCATAACTTACAGGTAGCTGGAAAGAGCTCTTTAAAAAATGAAGTTCAAAAGTTGTATCTCATGAAAGAATTATACAGATGTCTTTTCTTAGAGAAAGGGTACTTATGGCTCCTTGATTGTCTATCTGTTTCTAGCTTGTGTTCCTAGTCCTAGTCAAAGATGAGGGGGGCAAACTTTTCCAAAGCACCTGAAGGCAGAACAAGGACCAATGGATGGAAACTAATCAAGGAGAGAAAAAGCCTAGAACTAAGGAAAAATGTCCTAATGGCGAGAACAACTAACTAGTGGAACAACTTGCCTTCACAAGTCGTGGGTGCTCCATCACTGGAGGCTTTCAAGAAGAGACTGGCAGCCATTTTTCTGAAATGGTATAGGTTCAAGCAGGGGGACCCTCCAAGGTCCCTTCCAACTCTGCTATTTTATTTTAAATAAGTTAAGAAACCACCTTCATTTTGTCCTCAAGTAAGTGGATAACTTTTTTTGAAAGCAGCACTTGCTAAAATCTCTGAAGACAGTAATCCAGGATTTGGGCTGCATCACATTATTTACTATATTATACTGCTTGCTTCATTTTGTCATCCCAATGCTTTATATATGCCTTTAAGTAACCACACTTAGGCAAGGAGTTCCAAAGTTTTATTAGATATCTCCCACAGCTCTACAAAGGTCTGCTGAAAAGAAATGTCAACAGCCTACTTCATAATAAGAGTGTACAGGAAAATGTAACCTGAGATGCCTCTATGCACATTTCCATATTAGCATTATATAGATGGTTTATCTCAGGATTGTCATAGTAATTCCCTGATACTGGCAGCTACTTCCATCTATAACCCTCAGGTTCTTTAAATGCAGAATCATAGTTAAAAGGAGCCATTTAGGGAAAAATACATTTTTCCTTACATCAGCTGGTGAAAAATTATGTTGTAGTAGAATAAGGCACCTGCTTCACAGAGGACCCTAAAAGTAACTGTTCTCTTCCAATGAGAGACAAGATGGGATTCAGTGACAAGAAGTTAGAAGTTACTTGTCCCCAGAGGTTGTTCAGTGGAAGTTCTCAGAGAAGCAAAGACTTGAAGAGTGTGCTTCCTGATTGGGCCTGGGATTTAGCTCCAGAGCCTCAAGACTATTGGAACTAGTCAAATCAAATCAAGCCCTACTTCTGGCGAACAGTAACTCTTCTATTTGCGTTAGGCTGCTTCAGACTTCTGCAATCTCCCAAACACAAACCAGCTTCCCTCTCATATCAACAACATCTAGCTGCCTTTCTACTCAGCTTTCATAGCCACAGGTTGCTGGGTTACTTAAAGGGGCAAGGACCCGTCTATTTTGCAGGCAGCCTGTCCTCCCACAGACTTATTTTATATTAAATAAAAATATTTTATTATCTATTATTCCTGGTAGGGGCGGAGGTCACCAAAGTTCCAACACTGCTTGGGCCCTGTAATCTGATTAACGGGACAAACTGGGGACCATCTAATAAAAAACCTTATCCTTGTGAAGAGAGAGCTCTTTTGCTGCCCCACATAGATTCCGGGTGGCCATAGGGAGCAGCTGCCTAATGAATACAAAAGTTGCAGGAACTTAATACAACTAAAAAATAAGGGAAAATATTCACTAGGATTTTCCTTTTTATATTTAAGGAATATATTATTATGTTTATTCACTCAAGATGGACGGAGACTTTATTAAATTATTTTTCAGAAAGATTATGTGCTATTTAACTATGTTCCCAAGTATGGAAAGTAGCAGGAACTTTTAGCAGCCTTAATAAAGAAAACTTATCCTGTATACAATAGACTAAAATGGGCCATATTACTTATCTCTAAAGAAAACTTTTATCCTGTTAATTTAATCAGATCTGCTAATTAACGTGTGACATTAATTTCACCTCCAAATAAGATCAAGTAGAATATTTGATCTCACAATAGAAAATTGAAGTTATGTTACACAGAATGTTTTTTCAATGGTTATTAAATAAGATTCTTTAAAACACTACAGAAGAGAAAGTACATGATTTTTAATTAGAATAAATTAAACAGAGAATGTTATTTTGCTTTGCACAGGATTTTTCAAAAACCTTGGCATTCATTGCATTGGGAATTAGCCAAATGGGTGCATAGGTACATGGATACCTTCCCATTTTAAAATTTGCTTAGGTCTTATTTTAATCAGTTGCTGACTGTTAAGAGTCAATATTTTTTTTTAAATGGATTTATCCACAATTTTCCAGATGTTCTCTTTTTAGGCAACACTTCCATGACTTTCCATAGGCCGATAAATACACAATAAGAAGAACTGTCTGCAGTGCAATTCTTTCCCTTTTGTGCACCATGGGAGGTGTGAATGGCCTTTGAGGGAGGTGTGAGGGCTACAGCCCGAGAAATGAGCAAGACAAAGAAAAATGCAAAGCCAGGACAACAACTGAACTACAATTAATTTGAATTAAAGAAAAGCCTCATTTTAACTAAAAACAATTTAATGTAATTAAATACAATTCAAATAAATTAAAATTATTACTTATCATGTTTGTGATTCATTTTCATCTGTATCATTTTAAAAGTCACAATTTAGCAGAAACTGCTTGAGGGACAGATGGCAGCTGTGATGAGGACACCTGTGTATAGTTCATCCTATGGCCAAGTTGTGCCCTTTTCTGGACTGGAGGAAGGATCCTTCAGATGCCTTAGTCATCTCATAACTGGACTATTACAACATGTACTACCAGACTGCCCATGTAGACCCTCTGGAATCAACAATTGCTGATTGTCATCTATAAAGCCCATCGTGGCAAAGAGCTTAGTTATCTGAGGGACCGCCTGTCTCCCCTGATTCCAGCCTGTCCAATAAGATCAGAGTGAGATGCTCCAGGTTCATTCAGTTAAACAAGTAAACACATTGCCTGGAAATTCATCCGCCTCCCACCCTATTAAGAGTCCTGCAAGATTTTAAAACATGGCTTTATTTCTAGATCTGAAATAAGGCTGTTTGTTGAGCCTCTGACAAATTTTATACAGCATGATTTTTGTTTTGTTTTGCTGATTTGGGGGTTATTTTTATCTAAGCATATATATTCTTGGTTTTGCTTTTGCTTTTTTTCTCTTTTTAACTTTGTAAATTGCTCAGAGTATAAGTGGACATCCTTCTAAATCTAACACAACAAGCACGCAAGCAAAGCATTTGTGGAAGCCTTCTGACTGCCAAATGTGTAGCTCTGGGGCCTCAATTTCTGTGCCCCTGCTCAAAGGGTCTCTCCCCCTCCATTCAATATGGCTAGTGAAACTCTAAAAAATTCTATATGGGTTGCCCGAGATCTTATTATTCTAATCGTTTGTGACTAAACATAATAGGGATGCGAAGAGCCAAATTGATTCTCAGCCACAGAAACTCACTGGAATGACTTTGGAGCGGTCACCATTTTTCTCCCCTGCCAATTCTATGGGGTTATTGTGGGGTTAAATTGGAGGAGAGTAATATTAAGTAAGTAATAACAAATAGCAAAATAAAAGCAGAGCTTGGCTTCTTCATTTCCTCTTAGGTTAAATAGATTTTAACATATTGTTAGCTGTGACCCAAAGCCGGGACCACTGAGCTTCTATTCAATTATACTGCTCTTGCAGTATCTCACTGCATCTTTTATATATCACATAATAGTTCTGGAAATCTTCTAAGAATAGCATCCTTGGAGACAAAAACTAGATGAAAAATCAGTCTACAACCTAGAGTTCCCCTGTGAAAATTAGCTTGTAGTCCAATGTTTGTTATACCTGTGATGGCCATAATGTATTTATTTTATTTTATTTATTTGATTTGCCAACTGTTTACAAGTATAAGTGTATACATAGTTGTGAATACATGAAATGGGTACATATAAGAAAAATAAAAGAATAAGAGAAACAATAGGACAGGGATGGTAGGCACGATGGTGCGCTTATGCACGCCCCCTACAGACCTCTTAGGAAAGGGGTGAGGTCAATAGTAGACAGTCTAAGGTTAAAGTTTTTGGGGTTTGGGGAAGAGACTATAGAGTCGGGTAGAGTATTCCAGACATTGACCACTCTATTGCTGAAGTCGTATTTCCTGCAATCAAGTTTGGTGCGGTTTACTTTGAGTAAAATAATGGATTTTATTTATTTTTTGCCTCAAAAAGACACTTTGATATTCTTTAAAAATCCACAACCTGGCAATTTTAGGAGTTGATTGCTGGAGAAAAAACAAGATTGTCAAGTTTATTGTTGTCTTAAGAAGATGGAACAGCTAAATTGCCATCAAGCTAAAATTAGGAGACAGTTGGCATTTTATCTCAGTTCAAATAAACTCCAACTAGAGCTTGCTTATTCATCAAGTGATTTCTATTTGACGTACCACTTCTAATAGTCTCCTGTCTTCAAATATTCACAATTTATTTTTTTATTAGCTTTTACTGGATACACAAATAAAGACTGCAGATTACTATCGTAAGACCAATAAATACAGAAGGATATTTATCATTACCTTATGGCACATATAGGATCCACCTTTCTTCACTCGGTCCGACCCTTCTGAAGGTCCTTTCTGGGGACAAAGGGATACCTATTATTGTTGATCCATACAAGACTAACTGTAAGTATCAATCAAAGGAATTCAGAGTGATTTCTTGGAGGGCCGAGTGGGCCATTGTTCACAAGCATACTACAGTTACTGTAGTTTTTACAGCAAGAAATAACAATTGCAATGTTTGAGAAAGGATGACTGGAAGATAACTTGGTATAATTGCTCTAGCCTTAATACAACAGCTATTTCAGTTTTAAATAGCGGCTGTTCTGTCAAGTCTGCATGCAGCATTCTATTTTCGTTTCTCTGTGCAAGTGTGTAATGCATAGCTAGGACTTGATGACAGTATCAAACCTGCAATGATGGATGGAAAATGAAAAGGGATTAGCACAAAATATATCCCCTTTTTATGGAGCTGTACTATTTATGCTGATTTAAGAGCTGAAGATCTCTGGTTAATTTGGCTTTTGCTGAAAACTAGTTGAATGATGAATTTGGTGGTTGATCAACATTCTGATAACGTTTCTTGAAGCTCAGCATTATAGATGTCTAGTTCTTCACACTAATTTAGAAGGCAAGTTCCCAAAGTCTATTATTTCTGCTGGAAATGTTTTTTTTTTCTTCAAATAAATGAATAGCAAATTAATTAATTAAACATGTGGACAATCCCCATCTCTTCTCCTGCAAAATCCTAGGAGCTATTTGGTGTCACTTATTCAGTGTAATCAGCAGCAGTGGCTAAGTTTGTAATGTTTCAATTACCTCATAGCCAAGATTTTCTGGACAAACAGGTGCTTTGAATCTGTTTACCCCTTTCATACATACATTTAAAAGACCTAAACACCTCTCTAGAAGGAAAAGAAGTGACAAAGCAGGGCTGATATCTGACAACAATTCTGAACTTGTTACTGAGATTTTATCATGTTCATGATTGGGTGTAAATAACAGAGTTAAGTAAAAATTTAACACCCCTTAACTACTTTTAGTTCTCCTTATATGCATATGTTATTTAAAAACTTATTTAAGAACTCTTCTTGACCTTGCAAAAGCAAACATTAATTTAAAATCCAATAATTCTTAACATATCAGAATTTTACACTGGCATGCTCCATATATAGGATTTTACATTATATCTACCCTTTCTTTTTGGAGCAGAAGGGATGTTTTTCTATTTTTACATGATACTGTACAATCCTGTATGGTGCTTTCAGTTAGATTGGTATTATGTATTATATGACTGGATTCACCCTATTTTGACCTTATTAACCTAGGTAGTCAGTTGTTATTCTATGGAATTTAAGCCCTGTACTATAACATCCATTTCTTTCTACTCTGAGAGCTTATGTAAAGGTGGATTACAGATGCCATTCTCATAGATTCTATATATCCCCTCTGGCCACCAAAGAGGACAGGACCTGGATAGCTCCTGAAAAATAATCATGTAAATGAATTCAATTCCAAGTAAAGGTTTGAATCCCATAGAATAACATCTAACTACCACCACTGGTATGATATAGGATGGAACAAGTCATATAATGCTCCAAGTGTGATTGTAACTTTTTCCTCCAAGGACAACTCTACTCAGTGCTGGTAAAAAGGGAGATGTCTGGCCCTCGATCCCTGGACTGCGAAATAATGTAGGGATTGACTAACTATTTAATATCTACATAAGCTTCTGGCACCAGTTTTCTATTTGTATGGAATGAATTATGCAGTTGTAGCTTTCTGTTCTCAGCTGACCAAGTATCGCCATGGTAGTTTACAGTGCCTGGAGGCTATAGGAGTCTGGCTTGGAAAGAACAGGCTTTGACTCAACCACAGCAAGACTGAATAGCTGGGTTTTATTTTCCATGACTGAGTCTGGAAGGGTTACACTTCATCAGAAAAATACAGTTGGGGAATCTTTCTGGACTAATGGTTTTTGGTTGGAGATCAGGTGGCACCCCTGGTCATTAGGGCTTTTGTACAAATCCATCTTGCACATCAATTGTGCCTGTTCCCATAGAAGGCAGTTTTGCTCATGATAATTTACCTCTTTGTCACTTCTTGTTTGATCGAAAGCCATACTCACTGCTAAAGCCCCACCTCGAAAAGCAAGACCGGAGCAAAAAGATATATATCAAGATGTAGTTGACTGTAAAACAAGCTAACCCATTTGTAAAATTGACTTCCCATCTGCACATACCAATGTTTTTCTTAAGCAAATACAAATCACTTTCACAAAGAAACATAGAGGCATGCCCATACATATAGGTAGGTTATACACGTACAACCACAATTAAGCCCTAAATCTTGATTGTTGAACAAAATGGTTAAGAGTAACACCTTCACTCAACAACTGCAATCCCGGCATTCCTGGTTGCGGTCATCAAGTGATTAAGTGAATGGAGTCCCAGAGAAGTAGTTCAGGATGCCTGGGAAGATGAACCCTGGGAGGCTCAACTTTGGAGCCGGAAATCCTCCCTGGTGAAATCCAAGCAGGATCTTCAGCTTCTGAGTGAAAGACGTTTGCACGCAGCCTCATCGTGCCTCTTAGGGTCTCTTCCATCCATCTAAGGCACCTAGTGCTGCTTACCTTATTGCCTTGCCTCTTCACTCTTTGCTTAGATTTTGGCTCCCTCTCATTTCTAGGGGCTGATTAAAAGAGCTGCCTGTCAAAGGATCTCATCTCTCCTCTATACATGGAAGGGAACTCCTTTGTCACGGTACAGGAAGTGCTAAAATCATCAGAAGCTAAGCTCTGTTCTCAATCCCAGTAAAGGAATTCAGCTCCCCTTGGCAGGCAGCTCTTTCAGCCAATCCCCAGAGATGAGAGGGAGGCCTCTCGGCAGACAGAGAAGCAGCTTTCAATCTTCCCTGCCTGCTTCCCCTTTGACTTTCTTTGGAAGCCGGCAGAGAAATTGCAAATGGCAATCACATGATTACGGGGCGCTTGGCAACTGATCGTAAGTGCGAACAGGTTGCCAAGCACTCAGATTTTGATCATGTGACTGCAGGGGAGTGGGGGGAGCAAAAGGCAGAGAAGCACGATTCTCCTTAATAGCATCTGAAAAAACTTGTAGTCCAGCATTTTTTTTAAATTAAACAATCTATACATCATTTAAACTTACAGAACAATTGAAAATGATTTTAAATGATGCTAAACTTCCGTTTGTTAAAAAAAAGAGCTGTGATGCATAGACTGAAATAGATGCTGAATAGAGCTGTTCAGCAACCATCTATTTCCAAAAGCAGAAAGGCTAAAATTATAGCCATCTCCAAGTTAAGAAGAAGCGATTATCATAGTCATGCTTGAATGCTTCTTGGCAATCTGATAATTTTCAGTTAACAAAACAAGATCAGGTCATCATTCTCTTCTTCTTTTTCACATACATTCAGACACAATGGCACCATTAACCATTTTTCGTTACTGTTAACAGCAAAATCTTATTGGCTTTCTACTAATAATTGAAAGAAATGCTGTTCTGCCATTAATAATTTTATTTATTTATTTTATGTATTTATTTTGTCAAGCAATAATAAGATAACAGGTATAAGTATAAACATAGTTATGAATACATGAAATGGATTCATATAAGAAAAAGAAAAGAAAAATAAATAAAAGAAACAATAGGACAGGGACGGTAATTAAATAGATTAAGTTGCCATGCTCACTAATACATTATTCTCACAACCGGCAGTCTTTAGACATTTCACCCCTCACGCAACTTTGTTTTTATTTATTTGACACCCATATTTTATCCTAGTAAATTTATACAGTATGAGAAAGAGTACTAATTTTTATCTACCTTGAATGCCCAAAGTATTTTAGTAGACAAAGTCCAGACCCTGACTTTGGAAGGCTCCAAAGAAGAGAAATGGATATGTAATCCTAAAGCAGTCACTTATGATGACTCCCATTGCAGATGTATGTCTTTCAATTCAAATAAATACATGTGTGAATCAGTCAAACAGATTTATTCAACTCAATAAATCAATAGTCTTGGTAGATAATCACTTAAATACGAGCCAGCAGTGTGCTGCAGCTGCCAAAAAAAGCCAACATACTCCTAAGGCTGCATTAACAGAGGAATAGAATCAAGATCATGTGAAGTGTTAGTATCACTTTATAATGCCTTGGTAAGACCACACTTGGCATATTGCATCCAGTTTTGGTCATCTTGGTGTAAAAAAGATATTGAGACTCTAAGAAAGTGAGAAGAGAAGAGCAACAAAGATGATTAGGGGACTGGAGGATAAAACATATGAAGAATGGTTGCAAGAATTGGGTATATCTAGTTTAATAAAAAGAAGGAAGGAAGGAAGGAAGGAAGGAAGGAAGGAAGGAAGGAAGGAAGGAAGGAAGGAAGGAAGGAAGGAAGGAAGGAAGGAAGGAAGGAAGATAGATAGATAGATAGATAGATAGATAGATAGATAGATAGATAGA